TAGAGAAAATTCTGCATATGTGGAAACCATCTCGACAAATGGTGAAAAAATATTTACTTTTCACTTAGAATTGCCTTTTTATATACTGTCAGAAATTATAAACAAAAAGTTGTGTGGAGGATTTTGGCAATATGAATGCCTAGCATGAGAAAAATGTAAATATGCAATTTAACAAAATGTTTACAAATAGGTCCAGAATCACAAGAGAAACACCCAGGGATATCTCAAACCTGGAACTTGGCATTTGGAGGATAATTCAGTGACATTTTTTACATTTTATTCTGGAAAAACACTTTTGTTACTTAATCCTTTCATAAGATATTCATTTATTAACCAAACTGATTTCCTTCAGGTGGGAATTAATAACTACATATGCTAGAGATAAAGCATATTTTAATTTTATCATGATATTTTTAAAAAACTCTTTTGATAGCTTCAGAATTAACTTGCAAGAATAAGGATTTTGCAGCAAAGACTGTTCTCAAAGACTGAGCAACTGACCTCCAAGCATATTGAATAATGGGCTGGCAGGGAGATGTAGATGGTTTTTAAGGTTTCATGTAGTGGGAAGATCTGTGTGTGGGGTGTGTGTGTCTGTCTGTCTGTCTGTTCTTGACATGTAACCATAATGTAGGGCAAGGGCAGATCTTCCCACTATCTATGTCAAGCACATAGAAAATGTTCAAAAAGAGATATTATCAAATCTATAGACAGTCCAAATCTGGAATAAGATATTTTATTATAGAATTAAGCTTCAAAATTATCCTGATAGTAGAAAAATAAGCTAAAGTTGTGATGAATATTATGGGCGGGGGGATTAAAATCCTACAGTTAAAGGGTTTTTCTTTCCTTTTGGTTTTAAGTTCAACTGTAGCAACATAGTATGCAGATATCAGTTAGAATTGTACATAGAATAATGAACTGATTCAAAATTGGGAAAATAGTACATCAAGGCTGTACAGTGACACCCTGCTTATTTAACTTCTATGCAGAGTACATCACAACAAATGCCTGACTGGATGAATCACAAGCTGGAATCAAGATTGCTGGGAGAAATATCAACAACTTCAGACATGCAGATACTACCACTCTAATGGCAGAAAGTAAAGAGAAACTAAAGAGCCTCTGGATGAGGGTGAAAGAGAACAGTGAAAAACTTGGCTTGAAACTCAGCATTCAAAAAACTAAGATCATGGCATCCAGTCCCATCACTTCATGGCAAATAGAAGGAGGGAAAGTGGAAGCAATGACAAATTTTCTTTTCTTGGGCTCCAAAATCACTATGAACAGTGACTACAGCCATGAAATTAAAGGACACTTACTCCTTGGAAAGAAAGCTATGACAAACCTAGACTGCATTATTAAAAAGAAGAGATATCACTTTGCTGACAAAGACTCATATAGTCAAAGCTATGGTTTTTCCACTAATCGTGTACAGATGTGAGAGTTGGACCATAAAGAAGGCTGAGTTCCAAAGAGATTATGCTTCCGAATCGTGGGCTAGAGAAGACTCTTGAGAGTACCCTGGACTTCAAGGAGATCAAACCAATCAATCCTAAAGGAAATCAACCCTGAATATTCATTGGAAGGACTGATGCTGAAGCTGAAGCTCCAATAGGTTGGTCACTAGATGCAAAGAGTTGACTCATTGGAAAAGACCCTCATGCTGGGAAAGATTGAAGGCAGGAGGAGAAGGGGACGGCAGAGGATGAGATGGATAGATAGAATCACTGACTCAATGACACGTATCTGAGCAAACTCCAGGAGATAGTAGAACAGAGGAACCTGGAATGATGTAGTCCATGGGGTCACAAAGAGTTGGAGATGACTTAGCAACTGAAAAATAACATCCTGGCTTATGTGGAAAAGTTTCTGAAGGCCTGAATGACAGAATTTACTATGGAGAAAACAGTAGGACATGGATTACTGAATTATTACATGTAATCTTTACTATAGAATCATAAGTTGTATATAAATCAGGGAAAGTAACTAGCCTAATGCACTTGGGCATGGCCATATCCCATGTAGAACACTGTGTTCAGTTGTGGGCTCTAGATTTTTGAAAGAATATTTATAAAATATATTAATAATATAATCTGAAAAGGAAATACAAGTGGTGAAAGGCTCATAGAAGGGAGAGCTGAAGAAACTAGGAATAATAAGGCTAAAAAGGAGAATTTTAGGGAGAGTGTGATAATTGCCCTAAGATGTATAAAAGGCAGTAAAAAGCAAAGGGTAATAATAATTATCTTGTATTGAGTACCATATGAAAAGTAGTCACTGTTATCTGCATTTTGCAAAAGAGGAAAACTGAGGCACGGAGAATAAGTTACACATCTATGGCCACATAATTTATAACGGTTGCGCCAGTTTTCATCCCACTAATCCACCCCAAGATCTGGGAGAGAGATTAAAGCCATTTCCCAAATATTTCTCATCTCCGTTTTACAGAATCCTAGTAAGACTGTTAACTTTCTCAATTTTTTTTGAAGCTGAACATGAACTGATGATTTGCTCTGGCCCAAGAAATATGGCCATAAGTCATATACATGACTTTAGTGTGGGAGTTTAAGAGTCTATGAGCAATTTACCACATGCTTTTCCTACCTTGAATGTGAGGACATGGAACCTCCATCAGTCTAGGTCTTTGAAGGGCAATGATTAACAGCTGTCCTGCAGATCCATGATAAACAAGTAGCAGGAGCAAAAACCAAACCATTAGTGTTCGATTAAGCCACTGGGATTTGAGGCCTGTTTGTTACTGGCATTATCTTAGCTTTTCTGACAGATACACAAGACTACATGCTTAAACTCATTAAAATATCTCACCATAAGGAAACATTATTATTCTTATATTCCCAGAACTAAGAATAGTTTGTAGAAACTAAAGTAGGTAGACTTGGACTTTCTTTTTTTTAATGTAAAATCCTCCAAAATTGCTTCACGTGAAGAAGTGAGCTCCCTGAAAATGGCAGTATTTAAACAGAGACCAGACGACGCTTTTGTACCTACATAGCGAAAAAGATGGCTTCATTAAGGGGGTTTTATCAAACTTTTATCCAGCACCTCCAATGTGCCAGGCATTTCAGCCACAAAGTTAAATCCAAATACTCTATCTTCATCCTTGAGGAAATAAGTTCAGAAGTAGATAACCTCTGATGTCTCTTCGATCAGTGTGATTCAACTAAATTAGAGATAATAACATGGTCTGGATAAAGCTGACAGCAAGCCTGAACTTAGAAATAAGCATGTAGCACTACAAATCCTGGTTGTATTATTATTTTTCAATTAAGAGCCAAAAGTACAGGGTTTGCAAAAAGAAAGAAAAAGAAAGACATGTTGGGTTTAAAAGAGGAACATTTCCCCTTTCTCTAGTTACCATTCTTAAATCCTGCAAACCAGGCATATTATCTGGCTTACATCAGGGGTGTTCCAGCAAAGGGAATAGCACTGACTCATAGCAATTGTTACCGACCTTTTCCATCACCTCTCCCATCCCTTCGAATCAGGAAGGGGACATTTCAATACTGATCAAAGGCAGACCTGAAAAGAGGCAATAATCTTTCCCTAGGGCCATTCTTCAGTTTCAAATCAGCCAAACCCTTCCCAAAAGATCAGAAGCTTTCCCTAAAAGGGTATTTGAGTGGGGCCTAGAGGAATCCCAGATTCGAAGGATGATGTGAAAATCACAAACTAAATGAGTGATTCCAAGACACAGTGACGTTGTTCCCCAAAGGCACCTTAAAACCATACTCATTTTGGTACTTTCTTTCCTGTTATCAATTCTTAAAACTTAGTATATATTTTTTTAAACTTCTAAAAATCAAGCAGCACAGAGAAGTTCTCTCCTTTCACTGGCTCGCTGAATTTTAATGGAAAAACATCTAAAACTTGGGTTAGCATTAACTTTAATTGCTCTGAGGCAAACATTTCCATTTCAGGTTATGATTCATAACCGTATTAGTCCAGTATAATATATGCAGGCTGGATTTTGTAGCCATTATCTAGACAAGGGTGAGGTATCTGATTACTATTGTTCCCCAACTCAAAAGGGCCAGTTTGAACTCCTGAATACTCCAATCCCTCCCGCCCAGGCCCTGAGTTTTCTGAACTGTGGTCCTGATTTTTTATGAAATAAATAAATGAGGGCAAGCTGAGTTTCAGTGCCACATCTTAAGTGCCATATCTTAAGCTCAGTGTGACATGAGTTTCTGAAAAACACACACAGAAAAAACTGGCTTTGGCACATGGAAGAGCAGTAGGGAACTTGCAGCTGTACTGGTTTAATATGCGCCCTTAATACTCTCGCCTATTTTCAAAAATACAATACCACTCTTCCCCAGACAGCTGGCTCCCCAGCCTCGCGCCAAGTCACCTACACAAATACACACTTAACAAACACAGATGTGAAATGTCGACCTAGGGCAGAAGAGAAGCAAGGGGGTGCGGGTGTTTAGTCTGCTGGCTCCACGCTCAAAAGTTTCAGGAGCAGAGCTGATGTTGGAAGAGTGAGAGGGGAAACCGCCCAGCCTGTACTTTCATCCGGGTACTATGGAGATGACCCCGTTTTCCCGGGACCAGTTTGCCCTCTGCCCTGGTGACCTGGGTTGAGATTTAATCTAGAGTCAGAAGGGAGATCAAGAAGACAGTTGTGCTGGCGGGTACTCAGACCAAGAAGGGCTAGAATTCACTCAGCCTTCCTGCACTGGCCGGGCTGACACACCCACTCAGAACCGACGGCCCGGGGATGCGGCAGGGAGGGGAGGGGACCCACGCACCCCCTGTCCCGCGCGCACAAAGATGCTACAGTGGGGACGTGCGTGAATAATCCAGATTCGGGCTGGAAGGTCTCGATGCACTCGGCGGAGGGTGCCCCTTTCCTCCCCCTAGTCCTCCATCCCCCCCGCAAAGTGAACGAGAGAAAGTTGTGCCCGGGCCAAGGCGCCCCGGGGCTGGAAAGGGAGCGAGGACAGGCGGAGAGGAAACCCGGGCCCCCTTACCTTGTCCTTGGGGCCGAGGTTTTGCAAAACCTCCTTGCCGGTGGCGCTCCGGATCTCCACCCCAGCGGGCGCGGGCGACGCGGGCGCGGGCTCCCGGCTCTCCTCCCGGCCTTGGCCCCGGTGCGGGGTATCCCCCTCGGCGCCAGGTCGGCTCCCCGAGCCTCGGACGCTGCCCTGGCTGCTCCGGGGAGTCTTCGCGCCGCGCTGCCCCACGCTCAGGGCATCGAAATCCAGCGTCTTGCTCTCAAAGGCGCCCTCCACGTTGCAGAACATGCCGCCGTACTTCTGCCGCGGGACCTGGTCGGTGGTGCCGGGCCTGGCCAGGTACACGGGCAAATCGTCTTCATGGGAGCTGTCCCAGCCTCTGCGGCCCGAGGCCATGGTTGGATCGCGACAGCGGCCCGCGGGTTCTCTTCCCCAAAGGCGGAAAGGGCAGCAGCCGGCAGCGTGCGCCGAGCCACAGTGACTGGGGCGGGAGGAGGCGCCTGAGCCTTCGCGCCAGAGGCGGCAGTGCTGCTCCGGTTCCTGCCAGTCCCCTGCGAGCCCCGAGCCAGCGAGCGCAGCGCTTGGGCCGGAGCGACGGCGTGTTCCGCTCGCCCGCCTCGCCCGCCCAGCCGGCCGCACCTCCTGCGCGCCGGGACCCTAACGTGGCCTCCTGCGATCACGCGTCCCCGCCGCCCATCCAAAGGAGAAATCCAACTTGGCGCGCGCGCGCACACACACAGGCACGCTTCCAGCTCGCCCAACAACCCCCAGGTTGACACTCAAGAGATCGCTTCACTCACATGTGAGCACAAGCCCTGTTTTACCCACACTCACTCCCAAGCTGGTCTCCCAATCACAAGTCTCTGCCCCACTCAGGTAAGGAAACTTTGTTGGTTCAGGTGGGTTGATATAAACTCTAAGTTCCTCCTGATTTACAGCGAAACACACACACAAACTCAGATTTACCAGACTCACAGTCTCAGACTTTGTTTACCCATAATCCCAGACTCTGTCTCCTCCTAATCTTGGTTTGTCTCCCAATTGCTCCCGGTTCTAGAATCTGCCTCACAAACCTGCACCCTCACATAATGAACCCCTAAATCATTGGCTCACAGAGCTCTACAGACAGATCATCTTATTGACAATCACAAGAAACCTGTAACAGACACACACTTCAATTTATTCTAATTTTTTTTTTATGTGAACCACTCCCCAACCAGGGATCCAACTGCACCCCCTGCATTGGAAGCGGAAGTCTTAACCACTGGACCACTAGGGAAGTCCCACTTCAACCTATTCTTACTTCATATATTTCACCCTAGATTTTGCTTTTTATCCACCCTTAATTTGTTTATTTACTTTTGGCCATGACTTGCTGGCATGTGGGATCTTAGTTCCCAGACCACAGATCAAACCGGCACCCACTGCATTGGAAGGTAGAGGCTCAATCACTGGACCATCAAGGAAGTCACTCAAAGATTTTTTTCAAGTATAGTTTTGGTTTGAATTGTCTGGTTTTCTACTATGTGCTTACCTAAATAGGTAAAAGATGAAAACCACATCTATTTTTTTTTTCTTAAGGTGTCAGGGGTTTTTTTTGTTTGTTTTTTGGTTAAACCTCCAGCCATGAGGGATCTTAGTTCCCCTGATTAGGGATGGAGCCCAGGCCCCCTGCAGTGGAAGCCCAGAGTCTTAACCACTGGTCCACCAGGGAAGTCTCTATCCACCCTTGGTTTGCATCACACACAATTACACTACTGATCAGACAAGACTTGCAAAGCACTCTTAATACTTTGTCCTCATCAGGCGACTTCCTGGCTGATACCTCACTTACTGAGGTCAGAACCCTACACTTGGCCCCACACACAAGTCCAGATTTACCTCAAAATTGAGAACCAAAGACTTTGCCATTCCTATTAGCAGACACACACACAGGTTATCACTCATGCATATGCACACTCTCACATCTGCAGCCTCTTCCCATGTCCACCCACATACACTCTATGCCAGACTGCCCCGTGAACACAGAGTTCACTTGCTCAGAGCTCACACCGTATGTGCACACCCTGCCTAAGCTCCAAACCTGTAATGCCCACCTTCAACTGGACCCCTTCTTGGAAATTCACTCTTGCAGTTACTTACTCATCGAACATGAACTGCATGCTCACTCTGCTCTTCAGAAGGTACTGGAGAGACAGTGTTAAACAAGGCAGATGAGGGCCTGTTCCCAGTGAGAGTATAGACTGCAACCACCCATCTGGGTAGCTCAGTCATTCACTGGCCTGCCCAACTTCATTCTCCACTACATCATAAGCTCCATGAAGGCAGATATTTGATCTGTTTAGTCTACCTTTGAATATCTTGAGTTGAGAGCCTCTGTTGGCACTTAAGGTACTTCGTAAATCTCTTCTGAATGAATGGATGATGATGATAATATTAAAAACAACAGTAGGGAACATTTATTGTTACAGTTGCTGTGTGTCACTCATCAATGTAATTGTTTCCCATATATGTATTAATTCATTTAGTGCCCATAAGCATTTGGAAGGTTTCTTTGCACGCATAGACATGATCTTTAAAGGCATCTACACTGAAGTTCATGAACTGAAACTCTGAACATCAATTTGGGGGGAAATTGGGATTGTGGGGGGTGATTCAGGGGTCACAAAGAGTCAGACACAATTGAGCGACTGAACTGAACTGAACTGAACTGGGATTGTGGGAAATGGGATCTCAGTGGCAGGCATGTAACAGCCTTGGCAGTTTGAAGGATAGAAGTTGACATAAACTCAAGTCAAAGACAAGTACGTTGACACCAGTTATACTTACTCCACGATGAGGAGAAAGACCCTTAAAGACTGTCTGTGCTCCATCAAAATTACTGACTTCCTTTGGGCAGCTGCTCCTTTTGAACAAACACTGGTGATGTTGGACTCAGAAATTTATGTGAGGGACTTCCCTAGTGGCCCAGTGGTTAAGAATCTATCTGCCAGTGCAGGGGTCACGGGTTTGATCTCTGGTCCAGGAAGATTCCACATGCTGCAGGGCAACTAAGCCTATCTACTGTAACTGCTGAAGGCTGCACGCCCTAGAGGCTGTGCTCTGCAAAAAGAGAAGCCGCCACAATGTGAAACCCATGCACTGCAGCTAGAGAAAGCCTGCACACAGCAATGAAGACCCAGCACAGCCAAACATAAATACATATTTTTTTAAAGAAATATATATTAAAAAAAGAAATTCATGTGAAATATCCATAAAACAGGCCATTCCCTCCCTCTTTGCTCCTCTAGGTTACCTTCCTCTCCTTTCCCATTGCTTTCATCTCTCCTCCTTTCATTAATTCATCTTCAGACTGTTAGGAGGACTTGCTATGTGTCCAGCATTTTCCTGGGTTCCTTCCCTGGTGGAACACAAGTCTAGTGGCAGGGAAATGACAGTAAGAAAGATTAGGTCAGATAGTCACAAGAGCTATGAAGAAAGTAAGATAGCCAGTTTTTTAACTGGCCAGCCAGGAAAAACTTGAAGTCTTCCCTCTCTGACTTTCTATAAACACCACCAGTACCTTCACCATCAGCAGCGGCAACAATAAAGATACCAGCTAACATTTATTAGGAATTCTGTGCCAAGTTCAGTGCTAAGGATTTCCATTGTGTCTTGATTAATCTTAATGGCAAAGTAAGTCAAGTGCCATTATTTTACTAGTGAAGAAGTTGAGGCTCTTAAGTGCCCAAGCTATGACAACTGGTAACTGGACAACTGGTAACTGGACAAATGGTAACTGGAAGCAAAATATGTGCCAAGAGTCCAAGGTTTCCTTTGAGAGGAGCACATTCTGGAGGTAGACCAGGCTTGTCTGTGTTCCCATGTGTGGGTGTAGATATGCTCCATCGTTAGAGTTACATTGCCTGACCACTATGACTGTTGCAATGTACATGCTCCATAATTACATTTGTTGATGAGACATCACCTTTAAGAGTCAACAGCTGCATATACACATATGTGTTTAATTAAGAAAGCCAAGCAGTCCTGAAATGAAGACTGAAATGCGAATGGCTGATCTGACTCCAGTTATGCAACTATGCGGCCTCTGACCAAGCATCTTACTTAACTTCTAGATGTCTTTCTTCTTCGTATTTGCCTCACCCACTTAACAGGATTATTAAGGACTTCATTCTTTGAGTAAGACATTGTGCTGATAACTCCACATGCATGGCCTTAACCTTCATAACAATCCCATAAATTTGGTGTGATTATTCTCATTTGACCAGTGGAGAAAACAAGGCCTGGACAAGTTAAGTTTCTTGCCCAAAGTATCACACCTAGCACTTCAAGCTAGAATTCAAATCCTTCACCAACTAACTCAGAACCTGTGCTCTTAAAAAACACCCCAAACAGAGTTCTGATGTAAGGACCCAAAGGGAGAATAAAAGGAAAGACTAAAAGTGAGATGTTAACAAAGATAATTATTCTAATAGTATCTAAACAATATCCAGCTGTTTTGGGGCAGAGGTTAATTTTAATAAGGACAAANCTAACTCAGAACCTGTGCTCTTAAAAAACACCCCAAACAGAGTTCTGATGTAAGGACCCAAAGGGAGAATAAAAGGAAAGACTAAAAGTGAGATGTTAACAAAGATAATTATTCTAATAGTATCTAAACAATATCCAGCTGTTTTGGGGCAGAGGTTAATTTTAATAAGGACAAACATTCACATAAAGAAACATCCTACCAGTGTCAAGCTAACCAAGGACACAGCCCCACCAACACATGGTGATTTTGTCACATCTCTCCTAGAGAGGTAGAGGAGACATTACTTAGGGCAATCACAAACATAAGAGAACCATTATGTCTGTGGCCACCTTAAGTCACTTCCTGGTGAAAAAGTTTTCCAAAACCACATACAAACAATAAGCTATTTCTATAACTAAGCAACAAAATGGAGCTTTCCACTTGTCACATACCTGATCAGTTTTGCATTTTCTATAACTGCAGTAAATGACTTGCCAGTTTGCATTGAGATGACCTGTGAAGTGAGCCCATAGGGTATCTGATTATAACTTCAGCGAAATGTATTCTGGCAGCATCTTCTATTACCTATAGATCAGCAGAAGGCAGAGACTCCTGGATGGTAAGCAATGGCATGCATGGAGCAATCCGGATATAGCATTGTCTAGGACATCTTTTATGTGAAATAAACTGCACTGCAGTCTTTTTTGTTTGTTTTGTCTTGGGAAGGGAGCATTTTATAAACATGGGGCAGGATAAGATAGGGATGGGGGTTAAGAGATGCAAACTGCTATGTATGAAACAAACTATGAGGATATATTGGACCGGCTTCCCCAGTGGCTCAGCTGGTAAAGAATCTGCCTGCAATGCAGGAAACCTGGGTTTGATCCCTGAGTTGGGAAGATCCCCTGGAGGAGGGCGTGGCAACCCACTCCAGTATTCTTGCCTGGAGA